GTCAAGTCCATTCCTAAAGGGATATTTAAAGGGACCAAAAACTTCTTGTAATGTTGTTGTAGAAGCTCCCACCTGAGACTCATTTCTTGCAAAAGATAGGAAAAACTTCTTAAATGCTAAAATTCAGCAGCTTTCATGACACTATTCAGAAAGTGTCATCTTTCTGTTCAACACATGTTCAGCACATCTGTAACATTCATGACAATTTTCAGAAAGTGTCATCTTTTCTGCCCAGCACACGTTGAACTCGAAATTTTGCCATTTTGTCTTCAAAAATGGCTCCAACTTCATTTCTTGTTGCATCTTTGTACAAATAAATTATTTCTAAAAACTAATCTATTACTTTACAAAAATAAACAAGAAAAGATAATATATTTAATTATTACATACCATATGAATATATAAATTATTACAACCATTTTATAACAAAAATAACCAACGAAACAACACATTGGTCCTTGGCTAGTTTATGCACATCATATACATCAATATACACATCAAAGAACCTTTATTTTTCTAAGACAACTTTAAATTACAAAAGATGCATGAAACTTTTGTCACATAAAATAAAAAATAAGTTGCCATAGAAAATATATATGAACTTATTTTTATACAAAAACAAGTTATCCATATTCTCCAAAAACTAAGATTTCCAAAAATCAAAAACTCTAACCAAACTTGCAAGGTGGCTCTGATACCAATTGTTGGGTTTTAATTCAAAAATAGTTTCATAAACTAGAAAAATATGGCAACGGAAGACTTTAATTTTTGAAATAACATAAATAGTTTATACCCACCAATGATCTTCTTGCAAGTTATAGAAAGATTAAAATACCAACCAAAGAAGAGGTGAAGAAATAACAACCTTTGTAGTTCTTTGGGTCCTCTTGGGAGGCTTGGAAGTTGATGAAGAATGTGGAACCTTTGAGACACCAACAATGAGTCCACTTGATGTAGATGCTAGTCCATAAACTCTTAAACTCTTAAGCCTGAAGTTCATAAACAAGCAAAAGATATGCAAGTATTCTTCAAGTCTTCAAAGTAAAACTAGAGAAAATGAGGGTGAAGGAAAGTTCCGGCCACTTGCAACAAGAAGAAGAATGATCCATCTAGCCAAATGCAAGCCCCTTATTTATATGCATAAAGTGAAAGTATTAACTATTAGGTCTTAACACTTTAAGCATATATGTCCCCATGTTATAAACATGTTTCCCATGCTTCATTACCTTTGAATAAACTAATGTAAATCCCATACTTTTCTTCTTTTTATGCAAATCTCGAAAATTGCATAAAAAAGAGGAAATTAGTTTAAATTTTATAAACTCAAGGTTTATAAAATATAAACTTTGTCTTTTGAGTAAAAGACAAAAGGTTTTCAACTAGTCCAAAAAGTTGTGCATGACTTATTAATTCACACCATATGAAATAATATAATGTTAATTTCTAATGAAAATTATTATCTCCATGAAATAAATAATTTCCAATTTAATTATAAGAGTTTTTATTGAATATATATTAAAATCAATTTCTAATAAATAATCAATTGTATCAAGTTGTTGTTAGTGTGACCCATTAGTATCATATGTTATTTAGCAATATCACTTTAATATGACTCTTGAGCATACTAGACCTTTCATATATATGTCATGTTGAACCAATTCCCAATACTTTTCAATAAAAAGGAAATGTGAAACCATCCGAACCTGGAGCTTTATCACTCCCACAAGGCTAGACGGTTGCCCTAACCTCTTCCATAGGTGGAATCGAATCAAGGAAACTTGATTCGAATCCAAAAGCCTAAAACTAACAACTACAAGTAATGATCCTAGACCCATCAAAAGTATCAAACTTTTCTCTATAGAACTACAAAAAGTTAGATTTAATAAAATCTGGTTGGGTAACCCAATCATCATCGACATTGATACATTTTATACCTTTTTGACGTCTCTTTTTCATCAAAAACCCGTGATAAAACTTTTAGTTTTCATCACCACCTATTGCCCATTTAATTTTAGCTTTTTAGCCAAGTCACTTGTGACAACCTTCTCCATGTCATTAAGTCGACTAAAAATCGATTGTCTCTCAAAACTAAGGTCGTTGGAGGCGAGACCAAGGTCTAATAACTGATCAATCTCTAAAAACCTATTCTTGGCCTCTTTCTTCTCGGCTTTGAATTTCTGATTGAATGAACAATTCCGTTATTTAATGTTTACTTTAAGGAACTTGAGTTTATTTTTATAGTATATAAATGGAGCCAAAACGCCATGTCGATTAAACTTTAACCAAGTGTCTCTAACTACGTCGTCAGAGCCTTCATGCTCAAACCATTAGTCGAAAAGTTTGAAATGAGACGAACCAAAATCACTAACATCATATCTCAAAAGAACGAAATGTTAATCAGAGATTGTTCTATCCAAAGTCGTGACAACTAAATTAGGGAACGCCTCCATAACATTCTCCAAGACCAAAAATCTATCTAATGTGCTAATTTTATTTCCACTTCTTGAGCTTCTAGTAAAATTGTAACTACCCTTCAGAATGTCCCAAATACCATATTTATGACATATCATTGATATTTTGTCTTTATCTCATCGTTCTTAATCCACGCATATTGAAATACGTAATATTCATGGATTACTTTTTTTCGCCCGAAAATTGTAATTAAATTATATATGTCTTTTTTCGTTCCCAACATTCCATGACCCAATGCGTTTTCCATTAATATGTATCGCTCAACCCCATGAAGTAAGGAGTTGCCACTATTTTCTAACCATATAAAATTTGATCCTTGACTTCTCATAAGATCTCTCTTTTGACGTATGTAAAAATGATGAGGAGCCACCTCTCAGTTTTTATTGTTGTCGGGAGTGACCACATCCATCACCACCAAAACCTTCAAATACCTTACCACCAAAACCATGTGTTTTGGAAAATGATTCATACACATCATTAGGAATAGTCCCATTAGTTTTAGAATCTTCCCATTCACATTATTTATTTACTTTCGAAGTGTGATCCCCTCTTTCATGGGTTTGATTCTCTTCTTGTATACCTATTTTAGTAGGTGTATGAGATTGTTTTTTTTTTTTTGGATTTGATTCTGCATAAACCACCTCTAACTCTTGTGAGCTTTCAAACTCCACTTCTTCCTGTTCTTATCCATAAAAACATGTTCATGAAACTCATTCTCCCTACCTTCTTCTTTATCATCCATGATCGGCTTCTCATCTTCATCATATAATCTTGGTGGTTTCCAAACAACTACTTCTTTGTCCCTTACAACATAATCAATACCTAAAATGTCCACCAATACCTTGTCATCAATGTGAATGAACAAGTTTGTGCGAATACATACCTACCCACATTAATCCCACACTTTGAGTTGTCACTAACGAACAAAGCCTTAACCCATTGAGCCATAATCTTTTTTTAGATCTTTAGTTGACCATACAAAAAGAGGAAACCCCTCTAAGTAGTCTATCATTAACCATGAAAAAAAATATTCTACAAGTTTAAAACTCCTAAAGATCTTTAATACAGTGTTTTGTTGTGATTTCAAGCAACTTACACATGAACAAATCTACATTTACACCCGCATACCTCCAACATAATGAATTTCAACATCTCTGAACCCTTCCTCTTTACAATCTGCATGTAAAGTTTCAATCAAACATGCATCCCCAACATCACCTAAAACCACACAACTTTTATAAGGTATTATAAAGATATCCTTTTTTCTCCATGACAACCTTCTTCTAAATTTTTTCAAAAGATTTTTGCGTATAAGCCATGTTACTTTCCTTTCCTGTCAACACATTAGCATAAGACAAACCACCCATGTGTTTATTAGTCATATTGTCTTTTGTACTAACAATTTTTTTTTACTAGTATCTTCTTTGAATGAAAGTTTACCTAGTTTTTCTTCTCAAACCTTGCAACAAGTGCATACAATTGAAAGTTACCCATCCAAATGTCACATAATCTCCTAGCTAAATGTTGTACATCATTAACCTTCAAAAACCGAACAAAGACAAACCTTTTTGCCACTTTAGAGAGTTTCATAATAATGTACACATTAGACAAAACTCCAAATTCAACGTACAAGTTACGTAAATCTTCAGTTTCCATGAATTGTGGGAAATTTCTAATGTAGAAGGAGACTAAGATATGATTCATTGAATATCGTCGATACATGTTTTCTTCCATTGTCTTATTTCCCACATCTACATTCCCTTTCTCTAATCTTCCAAAATGTAAATCCTACTTAGCTTCTCCCATCTAAACGTAATTCGCTGAATTCTATTTTCAAACAAAATCAGACAAAAAAGAAGAGAAGGAGATGAAGAAGAACAAAGAACACTGGTGTTTAATCCCGTCATAATTTACAAGTACAAAATTGTAGGAGGTTTAAGGCCGACTTTTATGAGTTTTTGAAACCTATTTTGAATATAAATCCAACAAAACCTAGTTGAAACATTAGTGTGAGTAAATTTTTAAACAAATAGCTTATAAGCTAAATTATAATTTAAAAAATCTCAAAAATTAAGTAACTTGTAAACTAGCATTGACGTGACAAACATACATTCAAATCCATCTTTTAAAAAATTGATTGGACCGATCACTAAAAATACATAATGTCAAGTTTTTTTTTCTTTCAAATTATTCAAATGAGTCGATTTAAAAAAAAAGTCAAATTAATTAAATATATGTTAATAATTTCAATATATATTAATAATATATAATGCAGTAACTTAAAATAGTAACAAAGTAATAAGTTAAACACTTAATAGTTAACATCTTACAAATATCAAATATCAATAATATATATATATATATATATATATATATATATATATATATATATATATTTTAAAGTTGTGTTAAAAGATGAATAGTAATATTTTGACATTAGGTATATTCTTTGTGTATAAGTGTTGACGATCCTCATCTTTATATTTTGACATTAGGTATATTTTGACATTATGTATATTAAATCCACCGCATCTTTATCTTTGCCCACTGTATTCAGTGTGCACGTGTTGACGATCCTCCATCAGATCGACATGTTCTGGATTCTTCTCATATTTCTGCTTCATACGTTTCTCGCCATCAACCACACCGGTGGAGACGAAGCTCACCACCGCCCCACCGCCACATTATCATCTACCGATTGAATCGTCTCTACGGCGATCGTTCGAAAATGGAGCAAGTTCTTCTGATATGACGCATGTGAAGAAGCACGACAGCGACAACGACGTCGATTCCGATGACGTATTTGGCGGTCCTCCGACAATCGTTTGCACCAATAAATCCCTAAATCCTTTTGTCGTCTCTCTCTAAACACATCCACATCCAAGAAGAATCAGTTCTCCACTCCTCCTCCTTCTCTCTTCTGTTATCGTTGACTTCACCATGGTATTGCATTGTAAGTCCATTTGTATATAATATGGTCGATTAGACCGGCGATTTCTTCAGTTTTGCATTTTTGTTATGGGTTTCGTTTTCCCTTTCTTTGTTGTAGGTCTAATTTCATTTGGTGTCTTCTCTGGTGATACGGTGGTGGTTGTCGGCAAGGGTGAAGGCGGAAGATGTGTTATTTGGTTTTTAAAGGCCTGAGTTCTATCCAACCATATGTTCTTCAAAGATTCTGAACAAGTCTATATGTAGGTTCAAACGAATTTGCTTATCCTAGATGCCTTGCTTCTTACAAGGTGAACAAAATCATATCTTTCAATGAATTCTTTTCTGTGTTAGCCATTTTTACTCAATTTTCCTTGCTTTGATAGAAATTGAGGAAGCAGTTTTGACATGAGGGGAGCGTCTTCGGGGTTGACGAGACCGAAGAGGAGGAAAGGGGGAGGCAGCGAGGTTGCTGTTGTGACCTCGGTGGGTGCAGCGAGCTGCTCAAGCAGCGTCTCAGTTGCTTGCTTCGATTCCAATAGTGGTATGTGAAAGGAAGATGCTTGGGTGAGGTAAGAGAGACAAAGGAGGTCCAATGAAAGTCCGGTCGGCAATAAAACTTCGCAGGTGATTCCCTCGGTGGTGTTTGCTTGACAATCACGATGGATAATATGTAAGAAGTTTCTTTTGGGATTTTGTTTGTTTTGACAAGAATCTATGGAATGTAAGTGGGTGTTTGGGTTTGTTTTCTGACAGAAATCGATGGGAAAAAAAGATTGTTCGGGTTTGATGTTTTCACAGGAAAAGGGAGAAGGAAGAACAAAAGGGGAAGCTGTCTTTCTTCTCTGATCTCAAACCAGGTGCAGAATTTCTTGGGGTATAAAATGCATATGTTGCAATTTATGTTTTGTTGTTACCTGTAGTTTTCACACACTCTTTGCTACAAGGGACACAATGTATTAACTATATCTTTCTTTTTATGTAATTTGATGTCCATTTCCTTTGAATGTTTCGATGTTTCTCATTTGCATCTCATGTCTTTGGATTACTTTGATCTATATTTGTGCTGACCACTTTTTAAGTGGAAAATTATTTATAACATATAGAACAAAGGATTCAAAATATGCTACAAGGGGCACAATGTGCCAACTATATCTTTCTTTTTATGTAATTTGATGTCCATTTCCTTCGAATATTTCGATGTTTCTCATTTGCAGCTCATGTCCTTGGATTACTTTGATCTACATTTATGCTGACCACTTTTTAAGTGGAAAATTATTTATAACATATAGAACAAAGGATTCGAAATATGGATTTACTATGCCCAAAGACTGATTAAAAATGAAAACATGCAATTAGGTCAGGTGTAGTTATGCCAATTATCATGGAAAAGAAACTTATTAATTTATATTGCTCATTTTCTAAGCAAACATTTAGCCCTCTTTCTCTTGCCTATAATTCTTTTACCATTTTGCTTTAATGTTTTTTTATTTAAATCTGTTGAAACTACTATTTATTCTCAATCTCTCCTTTTAGCATGGTGTTGCTTTCTGAAAATGACCACTTTACCCTTTGACCTAAATTTTAAAAAACTAGATTTGTTGTTTTGGCTGAACCATTGAGGTATTAATATTTTGCTGATGGATGTTTGCAAGTTGATGATCGTACTGATTTTTCTCGGTTTTTGCCTAAGGGTAAGGTGGTAAACTTAAAAATTGCACCTGGAAACTGTTTTTATATTAATAAAATTCAATTTTTACAGTTTTAGGACCATATTGCCCCTGCACTGTTTTTATATTAATTTTTTTTTCCATTTTGACAGTTTTTGGACAATATTGCCCCTGAACACTGTTTTCATATTGACATTGCAAAGAAAGAGGAGAAGAATTGTTGACAAGAAGAAAAGGATTGGGAAGGCCAAATTAGAGGCTGCAGATTACCATCTATTGTTGCATAAACACCTCGGTATGCATGGATTCTTTTTAAGAGTGTTAGAACTTGATGTAACCTTTTTTTATGTAACGTTTTCTTAAGTCAACTTTTTAGTTAAGATAAGGTTGTTTCCTTTTCATGTTATATTACATTAATATTACCATTTTTTTCGATTATGTCAAATAGTGGAGAGCATACATTATTAAATGAATTGAGTCTTATTTATACATTATTAAATGAATTGAAATATCAGCAGTCATAAATGATATTTTCTTCAAACTTTTGTTTCTTTTATACATACATAATTGAAAAAAAAAATCCTCTGTTCTCATGCATGTTTATGCTGTTTTTTCCAGGTAAAAATGGTTGTAGCATCAACCCGAGATTCGGAATTATGGTCAGATATCTATTAGAAATTTGGACCAAAATACCCCTACATAATGTCTTCTGTCGGTTTTCTTTGACATTAGCGGCGAATCCAACCCCCGCGAAGCGGGGTTTCCCATCTAGTGTGTATATATATATATATATATATATATATATATATATATATATATATATATATATATTTCAATTCCCGTATGACTTATGAATAATACCTTTTTGGATCCGACTTGATTTTGAAGTCGGCCATATTTAGTCCCTCCACTTCCATTGGCTTTACAAACAAATGCTTATTGATGTCCACCTCCTCCTAGTGCTTTTATCTTTTCTCTTGCATTTACTTCTTACATCACACATTCACACCTGCTTTACTCTCTCAATCTACCCGTCAATCTCCATAGAAACCAATTACTTTCTCTCTAAAATCCCCAATCGTGCATACACAACCACATCACCATGATCATTGTTTGGTGCAGCGCCACACTACCTTATTGTGATAGTAACCAATTTGTCACTTACATCATCTTCTGCCATTGTCAAGTTATTTTCACCACCATCTTCATATTTAATCACACAAAGACCATCACCATCATCATCTATTGTATATGTTGATCCCCACAAAATCAATTTGTTTATCCCTTTTCAAAGTCAATTCCTTTTCTCAAATATTTTTGAATTTAATCCATCCATGTCTTAGGTATATGTGTTTTTTTATCATATCTATTATTAGGGTTACATGATTTCTCTTTTTTGTCGATGCTCCTTTGATACCTTTTATTATTACATTATTTGATTTCTAAATTTTCATGCTCTCATCGTTTTGATTCGATTTTTTTATGGATTTTCTATGCTCTTTCTTCCGTATTTAAGTCATTCAGATGATATGAAGTAAATTGGTTATGGACAACCTTTTCATGTTATTTTGGAACTTTGTACTATGGACCATTGTCTATGACATATCCTCTTTGGAAAATGTAACATCCCGTTTATTGAGTAAATGAGTAGAAAAAAATTTATAAATGAATAATAATCCTAAAATAAATAATATTTAGCGGGGTGTTGGTGTTGGGGAGCCAATTGATACAATTTTAGAAGCTGGTAAATTATTAAGACTTAATTTGAAAATATTTGTGAGGCTCTGGGGCTGAATGGTAAGTTTTGGATTTATTATGAAAAGAATTATAGAAGTAAGGGGATAAAAGGTAAATTTCGGATTTAAAATGAAGAGATTGTGAATGGGAGGGACTAGTTCTGCCATTTCCGATGATAACTCTTTTATTGAGTAACCCTAACCCTAGACGTTCCATTCCTGCCGCCACCACCATCGATCGCATCTTCAACCGCCACCGTCTGTGGAAGCCTTCTTGGAGCCAACAACAATTATTTTGCCGCCGAAGAAGCAACCTTACTGCCGGAGACGCAATTGGTCAGTCGAATGAACCAACCGAGATCAAGTGTTGAGCCTTGATGCGTCGTTGTGCTGGGTGTGAGCGAATGGGACGCTGCCGGTAAGTCTAACGCCAACCATCTCCTCTCTCTTTCATTATCGCAGTGAAAACGACGACGTGAGCATCGCTGTGGTCGTCAGTAGCCTGAGGTCGCCGCTTCTAGGCCATCATTCGTCGTCTGACGCCCTATGAGGCTGAGTGGTTGTGTTTGGGTGATTTGGATCGCAATTATAAGTGAGTATGTGGTGGCAGCCACCCGCTACTATTTTCTACCACTCTCCGCCGCCACCAGCCACCGTGGGAGGTGGCTGTGTTTATGGGTGTGTGCATGAGTGTTTCCACTGTTTTCGGTATTTTGGAGATTGTATGCGTGTTTTTGTGGCCGGAAAACTTACCACCACCACCACCATGAGGTGGTGGCTTCCGCCGTGAGCCGCCACCGACCACCACCGCCCGAGGTGGCAGTGTGTGGTGCCCGTTCTAGTGGAACCCTGTTGGGCCAAAACACTTAATATTGGACTGGGTTGGTTCGTTGTTGGACTAGAAAAACCTAATTTTTGGGTTTGTCAGTTTGGATTTTACCGGGACCCGCGGTTATTCTATGGGATTGACATTGTGAATTATATCCGACTTCATTGTATGAATGGCCTAGTGGAGTGATGGACTTAATGGGTTAAGTGAGAAACACTTAACCCTAATCGTCATTTTATGTGAAAACCCTAAATTTGTTGGGCCTTGTGTTGGGCCTTTCTATTGGGCTATCCAAGAGCGATCATGTGGACTAGAATATTTAGATGGCCTTTAGGGTAAGGCCCATATGAGGGTTTGGGCCCAATTTGGAAAATTGGGCCATAGTTGGGCCATTAGAGGACTTTTGTAGACCTATTTGGTATTAGGCCTTGGTGGGCCCATTGGGCTTGGATTATTTATGGACCGGATTGGTGGACCATATTTAGACCCAATAATGTGAAGGTTGGTCTTAGATCCTAATGGGGTTATTTGTGGGTTTGGTTTAGTGATAGAAGTCGGAGTGTAGCAGCAACATTTATAGGATCTGTTCGCCATCCGAGGTGAGTCTTCTCACTATACATTACCTAGAGTGGTATCTATGTGCAGACCGGAGGGTCTTATGTGTTATGTGTTTACTTGAGATTATGTGCATTGTGATTTATGTATGCTATGTGATATTTAGACCGGACCGGAGGGTCCAACGATTTAGACCGGACCAGTGGGTCCAACGAGCTATGACCGGACCAGTGGGTCCAACGAGCTATGACCGGACCAGAGGGTCCAACGAGCTATGGGGCTGGAGGGTTCCACTGAGACACATTGACCGGAAGGTCTTACAGAGCTATAGCCTCGAGTGGCTAATTACTTGTACATGGTATTTTGGGGAACTCACTAAGCTTCTTGCTTACTATGTTATGTGTTATGTGTTTCAGGTACTTCTTAGGATCACGGGAAGGCGACGGCTCGATTGTACACACGAGATAAAGAGTTATCTTCTGGAGGATCCTGGATTATTAATCAAACAATTATGGAATTGTGTTTTGTTAATTTGATAATTGGGATTTTTGTGAAATGAATTATGAGAATTTTTGTAATTTAAAAATGAAAAATTTGTTTGAAAATTTACAGTGTTACAAGTTGGTATCAGAGCCTTGGTTTGAGGGATTCGGATGCACCTTCGGGTATGTCTGGACTCAAACTGGGGATTTGAGAAAAAATTTCAAAGGAAATGATTTTTCTAAAACGAGCAAGAGTTTCTAAGAGAAAACGAGAAGGAGCAATGCGTACAATCAGCCAGAGCCCGAACAGTGATTTCCCAAAATACCCTTACGTTTGTATTATGAGATATTTTTGAGATATGCTATGAGATATTATGCATGCTAGAGATAGGCTAGGTATTTCATATGTTAGGACTAGAGTGGCCTGATTTGTGATGCCTTAGCCTAGGAGTGCTGTTATCTGTGATGTGCTTTCGAGCATGTGCTGAGTAAGAGTATCCAGCAGGAATCCTTTTAGAGGGGGATTTGAGTAGAGGAGTAATATAGGAGAGATACCTAGATGAGCATTTGCGGAGCCTATTGAGAGAGTAGTTAGATACCCGTGAGAGGTAGAGTTGCTGAGTTCGGTGATATCTTTTGAGTATGAGTAGAGCAAGTGGAGTTAGCACCTAGAGTGGGTTTTACGTGTTTATTCGATGCCCGAATGCTGCTTGCTTCGTGCTTTGTGGAACTCCCGATGATGGGAGTCAGCTACCAAGTGAATGTGACGATATTCAGGAGGTAGATGATTGGCATCATAAGGAGTTTCTCAGCAGTTGATGGCGGAGAAGTGTGAGAACCTAGGAAGAGCCTAGGAAGTGACTTTTAGTCAGATGAGTACGCTGACAGAGTAGAGCATTTCGCTGGGAAGCGAGCACATGTGTCGAGATTGGTGATTGAGAAGGTTGAGCAGCTACTTAGGGACTCTGGGATGGTCCGTGCACAAAGTATGGGTAGATGTGGCAGGTAGTATGGGCCCATGCTACTGAAAGCAGAGGACCCATACTCGATGCATGGAGTTTTCCAGAGAATCTAAGTAGCAGATCGATAGCTGATGTCATGGTTCGAGTACCATGATTTGTAGCAGATCGAGAGGTGATGTCATGGTTCGAGTACCATGATTAGTAGCAGAATGAGAGGTGATCACATGGTTCGAGTACCATGATCCGTAGCAGATCGAGAGGTGATCACGTGGTTCGAGTACCATGACTCGTGGCGGTTAGTGCTTCTGGTGTTACCGGTTATTCTGATTGAGATCAGATATGATAGAGTGTGGGGCCAGAGGGCCATGTTGACGAGCTTCAAGGGAGTGTACCTCGAGGTGGGAAAATGAGATGTCAGTCGGAGTCGCAAGACTCAGGGATGAGTAGAGGTGGTACTTCATGGAGGATTACAGTGTGAGCTATGCAGTCGGCCGGTAGCAGAAATGCCACTTCCTGTGACTGCAGTGTGCTATTTCTGTGAGGAGTAGAAGGGATATTGAGTTTCTGGTCCAGAGCTGGAGGTAAACCCTGTGGGGTAGCAAGAGTGGTGACCTTTACACCAGAGTATTTGGGCAGTATGTTTGCTGCGAGGTATTCTTATACCAGGAAAGAGTCATTAGTGGTACTGAGATGTATGAGAACGAGGAGGTGCCTTATTGGGGGAAATGTACTTTTATTAGCAGTTCCCGGTGGTTAAAAGGATTATATCGGGGAGGTGGCCCTCGTGGTCAACGTTGTGTATCGACAATGAGAATGAGGTCTATTGCTTTTATGAATATTTCCCGATTTGGGAAGCGAGGCGAGGAATCAGAGTTGAAGCGCGTGATATTGCATTGTTTTCAGATTTTGAGTCAGATCTAATGCGGAACAGTGGGGTATCCGGCGGTGTGTCGGTCTGAGGCTTCAAGGTGACTGGAGGAAGTCACATGGGGAGGATTCCGAGGTTACATATGGGGTTCGGGGTACTTGGAGTTATTTGGTCATTTCCCGGAAAGTCATCGAGTGCTATGTGGTACGTCCCCTGAGTTGGGAATGATACATCTGGAGAGCCAGTCTATAGTATGGGTAATTAGGTATGACATTAGGCAATGGTTCGAACCCTAAGTGGGGGAGAACGTGGTAGTTTTTAGGGAGGATCATCACTCCGTCCAATTTGGGGATTAGAGGATTAGGTGCCAGGAACCTGCGGTACGGTCATATGAGACTTCGGTTTAGTGGTGGATGAGGCAAGGCGCAGAGCGAGATTATACATATTGTGTGTGTCCAGGAAAGAACGAGTGTATCCACGGAGAGTAGACGTTGGTCAAGGATCTTATTGTGGTCAAGGACTCTTCAGGGTTGCAATGGTTGAGTTCGAGGCGGTTGGTTCGTCGAGGTCCAGTTTCGATTGTTGAGATTTGATAGTTGGATGTATAGATAGTATCTATACTCCGGGAGGAGCATCATTTGATATGTCAATTAGTTTCAGAGTTATTATGAGTAGCTTCGCATGGGTTTTGATCAGTAATAGGATGGGGTTTCAGATGATCGTTAACGTGATCTCAGTCCTTGACGATTTCTCCGTGTTTCAATTTGTGAATAGAGTATTCTGAGGTTATGAGTTGTGCGAGAAGAAGATAAATGGTTGTAGCTAGTCACTGTGAGATTATGTGATGGTGTATCGGGGTGTCCGAGTATGATGCCCTAAGTTGTTGGATTATTTTGAGACTCGAGTTTATGATATGAGGTGGAGTATCGAATAGCTATTGTTCCAGTGGGAACCCATCAACTAATTGTCATCGGTCAGGGATGGTTCAAGAATGTGAATTGTATCGAGAGAAAGTGCGTTGTTGTGACAATTGTCGCCAGAAAAGGGTGGGTGCACCTGTCCATGATGGATCGCGGAGCATGAGTTCAATGAGAGCAATATGGTAATGGCTTAATAATGAGATTGTGGGGTGGTAAGAGAGTGGAAGGATCCAGGTGAGAGTAATCACTTTGTAAACTCAGAGAAAAACCATAGGGAGAGCCCATGACGAGTAAGAGAGTGATGTAAGCATGCGGGGAGTCGTAGCATTCACGAGTGAGTGAGTAAGTGATGTAAGTCTGCGGGGAGCCGTAGCATTCACGGACGAGTGAGTAAGTGATGTTAGTCTGTGGGGAGCTGTAGCATTCACGAGTCAGTGTGAGAGTATCGTTAAACTACGGGAATCCGTAGTATTCCCTGGTTAGAGCATGACACAGAGGAGTTCTTAGGCTTGGGTAGCCCTACCAACTGAGTCTTTGGGAGCCTAGTGGTCAGACCAGGGGTGAGACTAGGGTCTCCATGATGGACGGGATTCGTTATATCTCGAATTAAGGAGAGGTTCTCGCAGATCTGAAGGAATTGGCGAAGTAATGTACATGTAGATTCGCGGATCCCGGGTCGTGAGCTGAGTAGCTGATTGGAGATGAGTGATTCCAATTCTGCTGTTGAACCGGACTCTCGAGTTTGAGTTTGGCCC